GTTGCTTGGGCCAATTAGATTTGTTCCTCCACCCCTGGAGCATAGCCGAAAACTTGATGCCGAATTGGGGGTTCAATTCATAAGCTCGAGGTGGAGGCAAAAAGTGATTCGCGTCGTGCCGCGACGTTAAATCAAGCACTTGTTGGGAGGTAACCCAGCTTTATTGCTTTCTTTTATTTATTTATTTTTAATTTTATTATTTTTGTAGTGTCAATTTTTTATTTTTTAGGAGCATGGAAAGCAAAGGTATTGGAAGGATGCAACAGCAAACCAAATGGTTAGAACTAAGTGTGAGGTACCCGCACAAAGGACCAAGCTTGGGAGAAGTCTGAGTACCCCATGAGCTGTTAGTGCTTTGGCCTTTGGCCTACCAGGGAGTCTCTTTTACCCTTTTATTAGTTATGGTGTCATTGGGGACAATGCACAATTTAAGTGTGGGGTGAGGAGATTGTCTGGGTGACTTTCTATGCTATTTTAGTTGTGTTAGTTTAATTGAATAATTTTTTTTTAAATAGAAAAGATTGGATTTTTTCCGACGATGGATCTATTAGACAATTTTTTGAGGGATTTAAGTCTAAAGAAAAAATAAAATAAAAAGATTTTCTTTTGTTAGGTAGTGTAGAAATTCCCCCTTGGTTTTTCTTTATGCCGCGGTTCTTTTCCAAGGGTTTTATTTGAACCGGGTGTAGTTAGTTTTTTTTTAGGAATAGGAGCCATTGTGTTGTGCTTTGAATTGAAGCAATATCTCTTGACTTTGTTATGCCTTGAGAATAGTGAGTACTTTGGTTGTGACGCTTAGGCTCAGTTTTTGACTCTTGTATAAGTACCTTAAATTATATGATTTTAAATTTGCTTAACTGCTTTGACTAGAGTGTCTTGATGAATCCAATCCTGAGTGAGTTATGTGCCATGTGTGTGTGAGGTTTGGGTGTTATTTTGTGCATTTCATTTGATGCCTAGAACTTGCCCCGTGTGTTTGCAAAGCGAAATAGTAGTTTTATTCAGTCTAGGAAGTGATACAGGCATTTCTTTGTTGAGCCAGATATGTATATTTTACCCGCCTAATTATTATGTATCGTAGTTAACCTCTTTGAGCCTGTAATCTTGTTTCTTTGGCAACCACATTACAAGCCTTACCCATTTGTTTGAATTAACCATCAATTTGAACCATTGTAACCTCTCATGGGCACTTGAATTGTTTATGGACTTTGTAAAGGTTAAAGGGTGGGGTGGTTGGTTTGGCTTTTGAGTGGAACTAATTAAATAAGGAGAAAGGTGCATTGTTTTAAAAAAGTAAGAGCCACTTGAATTGAAAATAATAAAATAAAAAAAATATTTGGATGGTTGTGAAAAAAAATTCCTTGATAAGTGGTGGCTCTTGATGTAAGTGTGCTTAAAGAAGAATGGGGTAATATACATTGATGTGAAGGTGGAGTTTTGGTTTGACATAAGTATTGGGTTTGAATGTTAAAGTATATGTATTAAAGTGCTTAGGGAGGTGTAGTCACTCTTATATCTAAATGTATCCTACCCGTCCCATAGCCTACATTACAACCAAATAAAGTCATACTTGATCCTAGACTGAATGAGCTCCATTAGTAGAGTATTACACTACGGGCAAGTCTATGATGCATCTTTTGTGGCATATGAATGTTATTTCTGAGAGTGAGTGAATTCTTTCTATCTTGAGTTCCTAAGTGTTCTTAAATTTTATTGTGTGGAACTACTCTCTTTTGTTGTGTGAGGGCACTTGATTCATGAAGGAAAGGAAATATCAGTGACCTCTATGTTAGAGTAAGTGGGTCAGTTGTGAATAATGTGTGGTACTTGTGAGTCAAATCTTGAGGTGAAGATGTTACGTTTTTGTGCTTAGTCTATTTTAAATATTTTTGGTGTGATGAGTTAGGAGAATTATTTAAAAAGGTCGTATATATATAAAGTGTAGTTTGATTGCTTGAGGACGAGCAATGGTTTAAGTGTGGGGTGTTGATGATAGGCTATAATTACGTATTTTAGTCGCTTATTACACTCAAATTTACTGCACTTTAATTGAGTTTGAGCTTTACTCGCTAGTGTTTTGCACTAATTGTGTGTTTTATGCCTTGTAGGAGTGATTTCGAGCTATATAGATGTTATGGAATGAAATTCAAGTGATTTAGAGCTTTGAAATCTGAGTAAAAGACCAAGTAATTAAACCGGGATCGTATTCAGGGATCAACGGATGATAGAGCAACAAAACGAAGAATCGAGTAGGCATATTGCGCACTGTCTAGTAAAATGCACATAACGTTTTGCTCAGAACTCCATTTGGCCTCCATAATATATGGTTGGAAAGCTAACTCAACGGGCTACAACTTTCATGTTTTACGTTTTTCTAAATTCCAAACGAAACAGGGTGAAAAACGCGGTCGAAATCGCGACCGTGGACCTGAGGCGGGCTGAGGCAGTACACTTGCCAAATACCGCGCCCGTACCGCGGTTGACCGCGACCGCGGCCGTCCAGACCTGAAAAAATTATCCTTTTTCGCGTAGGAGAAGATATAATTATTTGGGCCCGATCCTACTTGGTATATATACATGGAAAAAAGGTATTTTGAGGGAAGAAGACCAATTTTTGACACAGATTCGACCTAAGGAGGCAGAGACACAATAAGAGCAAGGCGGGAAATTCTTCAACGAGTTTTTCCTTCCTCTTCCTATTTTTCATTGTTGGTTGATTTTTAGTAATGTAGTTTTACATACTATTATGAATAACTAATTTGTTATCTAGGGTTTTGATAACCTTTTGTAGGATAAATTCTTGTTATATTTTTATGTAATTGAGCTGTTGGATTTCTCTATCAACTGCATATTTATTGTTGTTGATTGAATGCCCATCGATTGACTGTGCCTATTTATTATGTGTTGCTTGAGAAAGGATACATATTTAGGTAGTTGAACAACATCACTCCTAACATATGTGAGAGATCAATACGGAGGGTTTAAAGGCGGGATTAGAGATAACGAAACCTTGGTGCTATCGTAGTGAGCAGTGAATTACTGTCAGCTAGTGTAGTTCGAGAGAATACATCTAGTAAATTATGGTAGTTGCTCGAGAGAGAATTACGACAACCAAAGTATTCACAATCGGTAGAGAATACATTGGCGAAATTGTAGGGAACATAGATAGAAGGATTCCGACAAATGGGAAAATCATAACTCTAGACATCCTTAATTTAGTCTCCAACCTTTTGTCTCGTTAATTGATAATTTTACCGTTTTGTAGTATTTGCTAGTTAATTAGTTAGAAATATAAATCTCAATCTTTATAATTTAGAAAATTGTTCAAACTTGTCTTTTTAGTGATATTAAACAGATATAGTTAAGCCTTAGTTCTCTGCGGGATTCGACTCCGGTCTTTTAGACCGGATTATATTTGCAGCGACCGCTTATCCTTTTTAGGACTAGAGTTGGGGGTGATCAAATTTTGGCGCCGTTGCGGGGAACTAACGGTGTAGTAGTAGTTTTATATATTGCTAGGGTTCAAGTTTGAACTTTTCTTTTATTTTGTTTTTTTGTATTTTTTTTGTAACTGTTGATTTGAGAAACATGACATCTTGGAAATATGGAAATTTAGGTGTAGATAATTCTACTATTGATCCTCATACATATTGTGAAGGAAACCACCCGTATCAAAATTATCAAAATATTCCCGAGAGCGAGTTATGTACACCAACTCGATCTTATTTGTGGAATGTGTGTGATGCGTGTGGTGGTAAAAATAATCATTTTAATGGTTGTGCTTATATTTGTTATCTTCCCCAAACACCTTACTATGATGTGGGAAGATAACAAATATAAGCTATAGCATCGTATCTGGATCACACAATCTTAAGCAATGACGGTTGCTTATGCAATGACGGTTAAAAAGACTAGAAACGATCAAACATGGGCAGTCCCATTTCATACATTTCCCAACTCACAAAACCATTTGCAGGACAGATGAGATAAAGAAGCTTAACATATTTCACTCCTTTGTTTTATTTCACCAGCTATATTTAGTTACTGAATGGGGTGAAAATTCGGACCTGATGAGTAGGATACGTGTAAGTCAGGTCCTAGTAGAAATTCAGCCTGAAGATATCATGGTGAGTGGCCCTGTCTTGAGGCTCCAAGATCGTGGCAACCAGTGTCTCGAGGAAACGGCGTTGTCTCAAAGTGATTAAGGCGTGACGAGATGGCACCAAGTCTTAACTGATCTTTTACCTTTGACCTTGGCCCCGCTGGAACGCATTCTTACCAACCCTCTGACATCAATCATCATCGAGCTTTGTGTTAAACCAAAGCGCCTTTTTCAACAGTCTTTTTTGCACTGTCAAAACATCTTATCACGAAAAAGGCTCTGGCTTCTTTTTTGTTAATCTCAAACTTCCGTATGGTTTCACGAATGTAACCAGCTAACAAACGAAGAGTTCTGGATCATCTTCGATTCACCTCCCTTTAACCCCCTTTTTATCAAAGTTACTGTTGAAGCGAATAAACGATTTTGCCGGTATACATATACTTTTTCTAAAATGCGAAAAATAACAAACTAACTATTATTTGTGTGATCTTTAAATGTCCAAACTTACCTTTCATGAGGATTTAGTTATCTTTCAATTTTGCTGCATAGTTAGCCTAGTTGATCTTCGATAACCATAACCATAACAAGATAGACAACATGGTTTATAGGAATCATGGAAGATTTACAGTGTGCTGAAAACAATTATTGATCATTGTCTGACGAGATGGGATACACTTAAATCTTTTTTTGCCAGTTTACTAGTGTGAAATAGTCAACTAAATTATGTGTTTCTCGACTTTGTTGCTTAAAATACCTACTTTCTTCGCTTCATTACATCTAATAGTGGTTAACTAGACACATAATTTAAAAATATAAAAAGAACTTTTGACACATACCAAAAATACCTTTAAAATTTGTGATCTCACGATTGTAAGAACACGCCTTTAAGGATAAATAAAGAAGTTTAACTAAAAAATTTCAAATATAGAAATGTCATTCTTTTTTACAACACTATCATATAAAATCGGAGTAAACTTTCATGCAATTAAGTCATATCGTTTGCTACTTCGCTCTCTCAAAGACCCCTGTATAATCTCTGAAGGTTTTGTAGTCATTTACTTTACAGAAAAATACCTTTAGACTCCTAGAACATAAGAAAGTTTCTTAAGACGTGAAGGCATGTAAATGAGGCAGTTTCTTCAATATTACAGCTTCTCCGGCAAAATGCCGGACTGAATTATGTGGTCAATAAAGGACGGTACAAGTTCCTTACCGCATAACCAGCTGAGGCAAGCAAATTTTTAGACCTCCTAGTTGACGACTGTTTGATGTTTTCTAGCCATGAAACAAACTCCACTATCCCTGCAAGGTGATGCATTAGGTGTATGTTCATTTCATGTTAAGGAGTTTCATATGTAGAGCGCTAATCTGGATTAGTCAGCTTTAAGATATCGAATGGTTAAACTAAAAAAGAAAAGGTTTCATGTGTGTATACATGTAACGATATATTCTTACCAAAGAGGAGTCTTAGTTGGATGTAGCGGAGGCCTGTCTTGAATCTTGAGAGCATGACTTCTATGGCGGAATCTGAATGTATTTTATGCAATTTAAACCGAAATCAAAAAAAAAAAAAAAAAGAACAGGAAGAGAGAACATCATACGTCAATAATTAGTTAATAACCTCCATCAGAAAAACATTGAGCAATAAGATTCAAATTCACACATGCACACCAAATTGATAATCCCTTCAGTGGCATAATAAAATACTCAACATAAGGTAATTCAAATTAATAGTTTGGAAATCAAAAAATTATTTTTGATTAAAGGTCTCAATGTGGAAGAAAGAGGACCATTAATTTGACATGGCTTGCTAAAAACTTGTCAAGACCTAAAGGATACTACAAGAAAGATGAAGCTTACCAAATTTAGAGTCAACCCTCAAAGAAAGACCATATAGTGCATATTCAGCATATGCTAGTAATCGGACTCGCAAGGGAGCACCCAACTTGCTGATCAGAGATCTTAGGAGCCCACTGAATTTAAAAGATTTTAGCATTGCAAATCAAATACCATTGTTCAAAAGAGAAAAGGAGAAAGAAGGGAAACATATAACCATCCTTACTCGGTACGCAATACTGTGAGAAAATCAGCAGGCAGAGATTCCATGAAGGAAGATATGTCCTCCATTTTAAGAGACTTCAATTCCTGCTTCAGGTTCTTCTTTTCTTCAGCAGACATTCCTCTCCCAAGTGCCGATTTACTGTTAGCATAAAAGTTGCCACCAAGAGTTACATCAAGTTCGCTATTAATTACAATTATCTTGACCGTGCAGAAGTATTATTATATCCCCCTCTATTTTCCCTCCTAACGAAATAACAAAATAGCCCTCACTCACCTCTTTTAACTTCTTTCTATCCCTCCCTTCTCTTCCCAATCATGTATGTTGCGCAAGTACTCTAAGGAAAAGCAAGGTCAGGCCCTAGTAACTCACATTCTCATGTGTGAGAGAACGAGACCTTAAGGGGTTGTTTGGTACATGGGATATGAACAATAATCCCGGGATAAAATTTGAGATTAACTTTATCCCATGTTTGGTTTGGGGTATAAACTAATCCAGAGATAACTTTTACACTAAAATTGTGGGATTAGTTATCCCACATAATAGGTGGGATAACTTATCCCATGGGATATCCCACCATTGTACCAAACGACCCCTAAAGGTCTAGGGTTTGTAGATAAGCAGGTTGGAACTGGCATGTAGAACAATTGTGGCCATGACATAACCCACTCAATGTTCAACCGGACAAAATAGGTTGGGTCATAAGAGTTGATTAATACACCATAATCCAACCTACCCAACTAAGTAAACATTCATCAATAATGACCAATAAAGCTATGGGATGTGAAAAAGTAATAAATTTCGTTGTGAGTGTATGTATCCATTGTAAACCTAAAATTAGATAAATAAATAAAAGTCTCTTGTCTAATAACTAAACTATAAATTAGACTTACACATAATTCAATCAATCTAACCTTTGTTAAATCTGTTTTCACACTTGTAAGCAGGGGTGGCAAAATGGTTCAAAGAAAACAGTTAACCACCCATATTATCCATTAAAAAATGGGTTGGATAATGAACTTTTTAAAAATGGGTCAAATATGGATAAGAACCATATTATCCATTTAGAAATTGGATAACCAGTGAGTAACCAATGGATAACCAATGAGTCTAACTTTTACATTTGTAAATCCTCAAATTGGGGATTCCTCAAGTTAGGGAGACTAAAACTTCTCCCAAAAGTCGATCATATACAAGAAGTCATGGATAATATGGGTTACCCATATTATCCGCCGGTTAACCCGTTTTTTATCCGTATTAAATATGGGTCAGGTCGGATAATTGATCCGTTTTTTATTACCCGTTTTCGACCCGAACCATGTCCGACCCGACCCACCCGTTTGTCACTCCTACTTGTAAGTCAACGTTAAAGTTTTGTGTGAACTCTAAAATGTGGTTATACGTGCAAGAGGATGTTGAGTTAAATAAATGGCTCATATCAATTGTACCAGGACATACAAAAAGGTTAATAAAGGAATTGGCTCACTCTACTCATAGCCTTAGAAGTTTATGTTAGAGGCTGAACTTCTTTCACATGGTATCAAATCATGCAGTCTCATTCTTGGAAGTTTATTGTGCGCTTGACCTAAGCAAAGATGGAGAACAGCGGTTGTGAAGAACAGTCTAATCTAAACTAGGTCAATGAATTCCCCCGCTTCATCGGGTTTCAATTATTACAAACAAGGATTCCTTTAATGCACCACATCTAAACAATTTAATCAGAGGAATTGAGAAGCATCTATGGCAACACTTCCGAAATCTCTTTTTCTCTAGTTTACAATCCAAATCTGTAGACCCAATGTGACCTGAAAAAAATCTACGGACCCAATGTGCTCCGGCCCATTTGCGGACCTATGCATAGCGGAAACTTAGTGCACCGGGCTACCCGTTATAGTTCAGATATATCCATCAACTATTCTCTTTTCCGATACAACCTCAGTTTCTGCTCTTATTTTCATACAATGTTCTGAAGTAATATAAAGAACAATTTGAAACTGACAGATTAAATTTCTAACAAAAGAACAATTTCAAACAGATGAATTCGAATAAAATATGTTCTTAGAAGAATTTTAATGGCTCGGAATTATTCCAATAAGTACCTAATAATTTAAAGCAATTTCCGATGGATCCACATTACTCTCTTCAGGTGCTATTCGAAATTCTTTCCTAGATCAACTATGCATTCCAAATCCATTTTACAATTAGTTTAGTAGCTTCGAAATCCTTTGGTAATTAATTTGTTAAGTAGGAGTATACAAGTCACCTGTCAATAGTTCTTCCTGTAAATATGACAGGAAAGTATCTTGAGTACTTTCCAACACCAAAGTATTCTCCTATCTGCTGGATTTTGGTTGAGTCCATAACTACCAAAGCCTCCCAAAGCTGGCAATACTTCAATCTGAAATCGTCATCCAAGTGCTTACAAATCCCAAAATCTAACAGAACTGCAAATATGCACAATATCCAAGGGAATCTTTATTTGACGAAGGTGACCTTTTAAAGAGAATAGGTAGCTTAAAGAAAGGAATAGACGCATACCTAAAGAAAAGCCATTCTTCCCTTCAGGGGAGACTAATATATTACCAGGATGTAGATCTCCATGCAGAAAACCATGAATAAAAATCATTTCTGCAAACACTTCTGCCAAAACTTTTGCAACCTAATAACCCAAATGAGGAAAAAGGAAATAAAGAATCTCAGAAATGAAAAGCAGCTAAAGGCACTAACACTGTCCATAACTTTGAGAATGAGCTAAACCAGAATGATAAAGGCAAAACATTCTTCAGTTTGAAACAAAAATATGACTATTATCTTGCTAAATAAGACAAACCTTGACTGGGCTAAGTCCTCTTTGCTTCAGAAAATCCAAGTCATCGACCTGAAAGCTAAGGAATTTCCTGTTAATAACACATATCAGCAAGGAGTCAAGAACGTTCATTAAGTTGGATAGAATAGCATGAATGTGTCAAAAAATGGAGTATACAAAACCAAAGAAGGGGAAACAATTTTCTCTAAAATCGATCAAGTTAATCTTTCAAAAAGTTCCTGTGCCCTATCTCAATTACCCTGTTATGTTTAGCGAGAGTCAAATCAACCAATTATCTCAAGGACTTGTTATATTGTTTCACAGCGTGAAAGCTGAATGTATAATTTAAAATTATATAAAATTATGATAAATCAAAATATTAGAATTTAAACATACTAGACAAACGCCGACTCCTAATATAGCTGTTCTTCTATTTAATTTGACATGTCCCAAATACAAGAATCTGTCATTTGTGTCCAATTGGGCAATTACCATTTCATAGTTTCTGATCACGACAAATCCTTTTAAGAGAATGGGTAATTGAAAAGTATAATTTACAGCTTCATGTGTTACTAAGTTCATCCAAGGCAAGTAATTAGCATTTTCCTATTAGTAAATACATAGAACTATTACCTAGTAATAATAAATAATAATAATCATAAATGTACATTTAAGTCCTAAAGTCATGAATATACAAAAAAATATCATCAGTGTCGAGCATAATGGATCTATCAAGAAATTGCAAGCACATGAAATTCCCTAATTTAGAAATGAATGAAATATCTCGTTCCCCCCAACATTTTGTCCTTTTATCTGTTATTTCCACAGTGGACTCTACTAATCCTTCATGGAAAAGTACGAGACATGGCATTTTGCTGTTCCTGAATGAGAGCAGTTGAGAGAGTGAAGTTATTTTATGTAAAAAATAAACATCCATATGTCAGGTTGTTTATATTTATGCCACATTGACATAAAATTATCTAATTCTTTCTCCCAACTAACTTTCATCTTAATTCATGGCAAAAGAGGATATTTGTTCCTGGCATTATCTGGTTCTTCATCGACACCAAGCAAATAAAAAAGGGCATCCCGGTGCACTAAACTCCTGCTATGCGCGGGTCCGGGGAAGGGCCGGACCACAAGGGTCTATTGTACGCAGCCTTACCCAGCATTTCTGCCTCATTTCTGCAAGAGGCTGTTTCCACAGCTCGAACCCGTGACCTCCTGGTCACATGGAGGCAACTTTACTAGTTACACCAAGGGCTCCTTCATCTCCGAGCAAATAGTGATCACTATTTTAGAGTGATGCCGACGAAAGTAAAGAACGGGTTCCAAGCCAAAATGCATTTCATTCTTGACAAGCCACAAGAGGAAGCTATAAACTATGTTGCTTGGACTCTTCAACAATTCCGTCGGGTGCATGTCGATCATCCAAAACTAGCATTGTTGGAGGACCCGATACGGGTACAACAGCATTTTAGGACCAAGCAACATAGGCTATAAATCCTTCAAGCATTTCATGGACGTAAAAAAAGGTCTTTTTCAATATAATCCAGATCTTACCATTTCCATTCCACTTTTCAGATCATATTTTGTGCTTGCCTTTCAGGAAATTTGGTGTATGGTTGTGAATACTAAAATGTTTCCATATCTTTATGTATGCCATATGGCTATGCTAAACAAAAAGGCCACGTCAGATATCCGCAAGAATTTCTTCCCCGTTAGGTCTAAAATAACAGCTCCCATTTCATCTATTGTTATATAACTCGAAGTATGTTCAATTTGATAGTAATTACGCAAGTATGCTACAATAACATTATAAAACCATCCAAATGTCTACTACTTCTTGAACCACAAACAGAAGTGTCACTATACATCATTTTCATGGGGAACTAGCTAAGGCAATGTCGGGTTATTCTGCTATACCCTTTCTCTTGACTCTTCATACTTCAGAGACATCTATTCTGATTGATGCTTTCATAAGTCTTATAAGTCATAATTTGTTCCAGATTTTGGTATATCATGCTATCCCTTGTAGTAGCAACTGAAAAAATGCTTACAGAAATTTTTGCTTAACCAAGTAAATCAAAGAGCCCTATAACCATTCATCCTGTCTATATAGAGCTAAACAGACATTTGGATTTATCCAAGATGCTAAGTTGACTCAAAAAAAAAAAAAACACAATTCCACCTGAAGCAGGCTGAAGGCTATACCTTATGACCTCTGCAAAACTGCATCGTCAGAACCTGCTTTGTCGTTAATTCCTTCATACATATGAGATAATCACTTTAAGTAAAACAGCATCAAGAAATCTTCACTGCTAAATACTGCAAGCATATAAAATGCAACCACTGTAACTTTGACATAATGTACAGAAATGCCATACCCAAAAGACATGGGGAACCTTAACCATGCAGTTGTTGTTAAAGTTTTTGCCAGTTTTCTCCATGTTTTTAGCCTCTGCAATAAAATCTGTAGAGCAACCAAATCATGTGTAGCAAAGCCAATTTACTCAAATGCATGGATAAAAAAAGCTATAAAAGCCTTATATCTCTAAGTGTTACAGAATGAATGTAAATAGCCTTTGGTGTCGTGTACATAGCCAAGCAAATATATAGGGATACATAGAATTTCTTGTGATTCTTCCCTTAATTAGAGTTCAATGTATATGTATATATACCTCTCACATATTGGAATAATACACAAGTTACTCTGCCATTCCTGATCTATTACATGGTATCAGAGCTGCCAGGGCGCAGATCTCTGATCAAAGATTCGGAACCTTTCTTGGTTTTAAGAAATTTATTCACTGTTTGTTTGGATCACCTCTAAGGAGTGACCAATTTGATTTTACCACTGCCATAGTAGGACACAGGAGGATTCCTGCTGGAAGAATCATCTCCAACGACTGGTTGGGCAGCAGGGGAGACTTTTGCGGAAGAAAACACAGCAGTGGCGCGTGGAGGCGCGTGAAATGGCAGATTTCAGCCCACTCTACCTCTCCGACATTGCGTTGTCATTTCCAGCCAAATTCTTTGGTGCTTCTGATCAAAGGACCACTGGCTGCTTCGAAATATCACGGTCACGTCTGTTCTACCATTTTTTGCTCTCTTCTTCATGGATCTATTACTCAGTAGTTTGTTGTGGCTGCTCCTAGTCCGTCTTTCACTAAACAACTCTTGTCTCAGCTGATGAGTTTGTTAAATTCTCTACATCAAGAATCAGTAAAGGAATTTAATGTTGCTCGAACTCGGGTGCGGGGATCCGATACAGGTGCAGATATATAGGTGGGATTCGGCACTGATTTAAATTAAGATCCGGGGGCACAGAGACGGGTGTTGGCATTCGACTAAAAATAATTTAAAATTTTAAAAGTAGAGCTATAAAGGTATCCATAATTATGAGAGATATTCTATGGAGAACCTACGAGTAGGTTGTAGAGGGCAACCAGTAATTAAATCTTTCATTCTAAGAATTTCTCAAACTATAGACATAGCAGGTAGCAGGTAGAGTTCTAGACATTCTCCAAGATGGGCAATATTTCTTTCATTCTTCTACAATTTACACAATAAAGTAGCAAACTAAATATTAAAAGTACATTAAAGTAGAACAAATATAATTAAAAGAATTAAGGGAAAATGCATAAGTACCCCCCTGACCTATACCCGGATTCCCAACTACACACTTTTTCTTTGCGGGAATCCTATTACCTCCCTAAACTTTTTTTAAATGGAATAAATACCACCCTAAAACTAGACAACCAAACTCTTGGCAAGTGGTGAGCTACACGCGCTCCCACATGTATTTTTAGTACTTCTTTTATTCTTTCTTCTTTTTCTTAACCTTTTTTCTTATTTCTTATTATTCTCTTTTTTTTTTTTTGGTTATTTCATTCTCTTTCTTTTTGTTTTGGTCACCAGCGGCATAAAATGGTGGTCGTCGGAATTTCACAAACACCATTTTTTCCGGCGAATTTTTTTTTCCCGGCGACAGATTTTTATCCCGATCTAAGTGTGTTTTGTTTTATATATATATAAATTTTTCTTGAAAGTGTAATTTATGTGTGGGAGGAAGAGCAAAAGAAATAAAAACGAATATAAGCTGAGAAAAAACTTTTTCCAGTTAAAATTTCGATACATCATTTTTTTCCGGCGTGGGAAGGTTTTTTGATGATGAATTTTTTCCCCCAAATCTGAGTGTATTTTGCTTTGCTTATGAATAGATCTTTTTGAGAGTTTTAGTTTGTGTGTGAAAAGAAAAAATGGAAGAAAAACGGTCAGACAAAGTCGCCGGTGAATGAATATCCGCCGGAATTAGAGAAGAAACGAAAAAAAAGTAAAAGAAAAAAGACAAAGAAAAAGGAAAAAGGAAAAAAAAAGTAAGAAAAAATGGTAAAAAAGAATAAAAAATAATCTGAAAATCGTTTTTTCTTGCTTCTTACTCTTCTTTGGGAGAGTGAAATACACACACTCTGCCACGTCAGCGTTAAGGGTGCAAATAATTCCATTTAAAACAATTTTAGGGGGTAATAGGATTCCCGCAAAGAAAAAGTGTGTAGTTGGGAATCCGGGTATAGGTCAGGGGGTACTTATGCATTTTCCCAAGAATTAAACATAAAGTGAAAGAAAACTAGTTTTTTATCCAAGAACAAGAATGACATAACTCTTGAAATAAAGAATGTAACTTGTAAAGTAAATGGGAAAAATTAAAGATAACTTAAACAAAGTGAAATTAGAAATCTTAAAATTTAAGACATAAACATTGACATACAGGTCTCACAACTTAGCTATTCAAAATTAGCCAATCACAAGACTACAAATCTGGCAAAACAGAAACTAGAAATTCAATCACATATTAGCTATTCAAACTTGGTCATCACAAGCGAACCAAACATGCAATGCACAAAGTAGAACTTCACCCTTCACCAAGAAGTCAAGAACTATGAACATGTGAACTTAACTAAAAAAAACTGAAAAACTATAGTCAAACTAGCTACTCGTAGCTTTCTTACTCAATATCTTCAACTCCTTCCAAATCTTCAAATTCTTCTCCAAAGACCGCTACTTCTAATTAAGGTTCATCTATTGATAGCTCTCAATTAATTCATTAATCTTCTCGTGAATATCAAACTAAAGCAACATCAAATTGAAAATGAATAGAAATATTAAAAGGTTTTCAAAAGGAAAAAGAATTATCATGCAAAATTAATTATTGAAAACAATATCAAGTAAAAAAAATGTTGAGATATCCAAATTCCAAAACTTGTTTGTTCCAATTAAATATTTTTCATTATCGCAAAAGAGCAAGTGTAGATTATAATGTAAAAACACTAAATTTTTGGCTCTTGAAGTTGCTAATTTGTGAATTAAAGAGTATGTACTCTAGTTCCTTTCACAAAAAGAGCAAGAATGAGCCGAGACACCTTGAATTGCCCACGAAGAAAGAGACTCCTAGTACATCATAGCTTTAACCACACTAGCCTCACTTAAATAACCACTCCCACTGCAACATACTTCATATTCCAAAGAAACTTGTTTCATTTCATTTGAACTTTTAAAGTATCTTTGGAAGTATTTGACCTTATCAAAGAAATCTATCTATCTTAATTAGAAGCAAGCCTTCCAATTCCATTTTCACCTTGAATCCATGATTCATGATAATATTTTAGAATCAATGAGTGTGCAAAGAATGCAAAGGTGTGTTACTTTTGCTCCACTTTGCCACAAAAAATTTCTTCGATTGTATCAAAAATAATCCGTTGATCGGTAATACGATCCTTCTCATCATGCTCAAAGATAATTTTCTTCACTTTCTCAATCACTGCGTCTCACATGTCATAAATAAGAAACGCTTTGGGCAATCAAGATGGGTACTTCTAAGCATAGATACAATAGGTTCCAAAAACTTTAAAAAGTAGTCAATGTTCACCTACCATTCATGATCCCTTACAAGAGATTGATGATGAATGAAAGTGTTATAAGCGAGATAAAGGAATTGAAGCTGAAACACGTGAAAATATAGAATCTCTTATAATGAATGATGAATGATGGGGTAGTATTGATTACTTTTTGAAATTTACATAACTTATTGTATCTATGCTCAGAAGTGTCGATCTTGATTGTCCAAAGTTGCATCTTATTTAAGACATGCATGACTCAATGATTTAGGAAGTGAAGAAAATTATCTTTAAGAACGAGGAGAAGGATCTTATTACCGATTAGTCGACTATTTTGATACAATTCAAGAAATTTTTGTGGCTAGGTGAAACAAAAGTAACACCACTTCGCATTGTATGGCACGCTCATTAGTTCCAAAATACTATAATGAATCAAGGCTTCAAGGTGAAAATGGAATTCGAAGGCTTACTCCTAATGAAAATAGAGAGATTTCATTGATATGGTCAAATACATCCAAAGATACTTCAAAAGTTCAAATAAGCCCCCAGGGCCTAGCTCAAGTGGCAAAGGGTGGTGGATTTGTGTCTTAGGTCACAGGTTCAAGCCCCCACACCATGCAAAGCAAAGCCTGGTATTTAAGTGGAGAAGGGTAGAGGGGCGGGCTCATTATCCACCGAGTTTCGAAAGCTACGGTTGGTCCAAATGATCGGCCCCAGACGGATTTCTCGGTCATCAAAAAAAAAGTTCAAATAAAATGAAGCAAGTTTATTTAAAGTATAGAACTTTTGTAGTGCGAGTGGTTATTTTAGTGAGCCTCATTTGATAGAGGCTATGATGTATGAGAAGCCTCTTTCTCAGCGGGAAAATCAAGATATCTCGACTCTACTCTTCCAAAACTTGTCAAGTTACTTTCCCAACAAGCTTCTTCCTCCTATTGTGAAAGAAATTGGAGTACTTGTTCTTTAATTCAAAAATTAGCCACTTCAAGAGCCAAAGATTTAGTGTTTGTATGTTATAATCTACGCTTACTTTCTCGCACGAAAAAAAATTATATAAGTGGACCAAGCAAGTATTGGGATTCGCATACGTGTCTACATTTTCTTTATTGATATTTTCTTCAATAATTATATTGCATAATAATTGTTTTCCCTTTTAAAAACCTTCTAGTATTGCTATTCATATTTAATTTGATGTTGCTTTATGTGCATAGGCCACTAGCAAAGGGTTTCTGGCTTATTGAATTTTCTGGCTTCGCCACTGCTGACCATGTTTGACCACCAGTGATGTTTCTGACTAACTTCGACGAAACAAAAAGATCCCGCTTTGATACCATGTAAAAAGCAAGGGATTTGAGAGAATTCCCTTGTGTATTATTCCAAGAAATACTAAGATATACATACATGCATATTGAATCTAAATAATGAAAGAATCAATAAAAAGAATCCTACTACTGCTATGTATTTATGGAATATCTACAATGCTAAGACGCAGGTGTAGGTTCATTTTGGAAGAATCAATAATAAGGGACCTAATTCAAGCTTAGCAAAATACTGATATTGTTGTTCCATGGGGATTGCCAAGAAAACCATGAAAGTATAGGCAACTGCTCAGCAATTTCAATAGATTTTCAAGAATTAGTTTCACTTTTCAACTTCATAAGTTACTACTCACTGCCCAGAGATTGTTGCTTATGACACTTGCAATTTAATCATCACATATGTGCCCATTATTAATTTTTTTCTATTCCTACAACCAAAGATCTTAAGAAAATGCCAAGGATGGAGAACAAGAAGAGGAAACTAGAAAAGAGTGGTTGTCTGTTTTAATTGATTTTAGCACCTCTCCCCCAAAGAAAAATTACCAAACTTTTGGGAAAAAAATTCTAGCTGTGATAGGGAACTATAGACCTCCTACAGCAATAAGGACAAAATAAAACATAGAAGACAGAATTCCAGACAGATGTTTTAAAACAATTCTTGGAATTGAAATTACGCACCAAGTTCAGAAGCAATAGATTTTTCAAATTCTGATACAAGCCACTGAAACCTGTATTCAGGGAAGAGCTGCAGAAAAGTCATAGCATGTATCAACCAAATAAGGAAAAGGTTAGAATGTTGAATCAGTATAATGATATTTGAACATAAGAATCAAAAGAGGCACCACGCATCAAAAAATAGATTTGGAACACAAAAGAATAAGTTCCTACAAAAGGAACTTATCAATGCACACCACAACACCCAAACTTGGAAAATGAAAGGTGCATAAAGTTAGTAGCAACCACAATCAAAGGACTATAAATATACCACAACCTAGAAGTTAAAGTTAAAAAGAATACATAACTATGCTATTCCAACTTCTCCAATCAACCGCATGCCTTGCTCAAACTTAAATTGTGGGAATATGAGAATCTCTTTCATTGAATTGAAAGAATTTTCTATTGAATGGAAGATGATTTTACATGATATTCCTACAATAAGAACTTATCAATCCACACTGCAATACCCTAAACTCGGAAAATGACAATAAAAGGTGGATAAATTTAGTAGCAACTACAATCAAAGGACTGACAAATATTACTGTCACCTAGAGGTTAAAGTTAAATAGATACATAATTATGCCATTCAAACTCCTCAGTCAACTGCACGCATTGCCCAAAAGAAATGACATCTTTTAATCTCGTTTTTTATTTTACTTGTTGGAGTCAGACACACTGTTTACCCATCTGATTAGCAATTCTTTTTTTTCCCTTGAAAGGGATTAGCCTGGCTAGAGGTTTAGTAGGATAACAAAACTAAAAGATGTGATTTGACGTGACCCTACAAGCAGCTGTCCAAGTATCAGCAGAGTGCCAATGATGCACAACCACAACGGCTCTGCATCCAGACTCCCAGAGTGCCCAGACCCTATGCAGATAAAGGTACGCAATCATTCTCTTATGCTTTATCAGATCCTGCAATAGTTCACAGCTATTTTTATTATATTGGTATACGTCACAATATTCCGCCACTGATACAAGAAGTAGAAAATCATGAGGACACTATCAGGCATTTTGGTTTCATTTATTACTTGTATTAGACATAATTCATACGGTTTGACGAATTACATGAATGCACTTTACCTAGCTTAGAAACAAAAGAAAACAGCGAAAGGGGAATTGGCACCAGCAAAACAACAAGCACTCAACAGTTACCAGGAGTTGAAGCAAGAGTTGAATATCCAGTTTCATACAACACATAAAACTAAAAGAAAAAAACAACACTACATTCATGCCCTGCTCAAGGGAACAAGCCATATCTTTTATATTCACATATCTAAATGTTTAGAATGTATGGCCTTCCGAGTTAGAGAATAAGAAATATATAAGAGCAGATACAAAGATAAAAACGGAAGACAAAAAAAGAAGTAATAAGGTGAGAGACAAATAGGCAATACCAATTCAACAGATTTTGACAGGAAAGACATGGTTGCAAGGTCAAATTTCATTTGATACTCCAATCCAGGGTACTGCACCTGCACAAGGATGAAAGAAGTCCCTAAATTGTACATCTCTTTATAGGACATACGATATCCTCATATCAGATTATTACGAAACTGAAATGCTTCTAACATGTCTACTAAATCACTGAGTCTCTCAGAGAACGATTAAATATTAAAAACACTGATACACATATGGAAAAACTGGCTATACATTAAATGAACGTTAATACACTTACAGAACTGATGTCTATATATCAAACAAATGCTACATCACTAAATTTTTTATAATAAATGTCCATTATCAAATTGACGCTACAGTTAAATCATAAGAAGCCACCCAACTAATTTCACATAGTGAATCTCTAAAATCAAGAATGAACTCAATAATTTCACACCTCATTCAAACAATTAATGCATGTAGAAGAACAACTATCAGTACAACTATAGGCTTCACTCTTCCGAGAAGTAACAAACAAGTAATGAGACCAATCAGTTACTTTCAAAAGTAAGAATAGCCTTCTGTAGTTATACTGACATGCAAAATGTTACAAAAAGAATAGCAGAAAAGACTTTCTCGAAACGTCCAGCATACAGTAAGTAGCAATGCAGACCTTCACTGCCACTTCTTGGTGGTCTTTTAAAACAGCATGGTGTACTTGAGCAATAGAGGCAGCAGCAACTGGTTGCTCATCAAAGGAGAAAAATCTAGTCACAAAGCAAATAAGAGTATCAAGAAACCCTACCAGTTAAAAGCATAAGCATAAAATAACTTAGCTGGCTGAGTTTTGTTCACTGCTTTTCTTAAACTGGACAGTGAAAAGCAAGAGCTTTTTCTCAGCTTTTTCAGAAAATTTTATGGTATAGCAGAGCATTTTTTTTAAATTGGTAAAAGAAAAAGAATCAGCAGAGCTACATAACGGAAAATTTGAATTTTCCCTTCATCAGCAACTACCTACATCTCTGAAAAATTTGGACCCAGATTTCTGAGTAGCACATCTTTAATGGCTTCAAACTGACAAGGAACAGCCTATATTGTAACGGATAACAGATCAGCAAAAGAAAGCAGTTTCAATATAATTCAATTACATAGAGTAGTTCCAAATAGAGCAATGAGAACATTAGACTTCAATTAACCAAATATAGGACCTGATCCTGTAATGATGAAAGTGATGTTGAGTATTCTTTAGGCACTTGCCTAATGGCTGCAACAAACTGACCAGCTTTGACATAAATACCTTTATTGGCGTCACACATTGTCAAAATTCTCTTTGCTGACCTTAGATGTACCTAAAGGGCAGAAGGATAACTAAATAATTATATAGAACAGAGTGGTGTGATAGGGTTCTCCATTTCCACACTATATCAATTTCATGTGAGCTAGTTGTGTCTTCAGTATATGTTTGGAGTTGCAGAATGCTACCGCATCCCTTCCACAATCAATTGCATATCACAACTAAGAAGAACATTCTCTTGGGATAACTCATAAAGCAAGAAAGTTGTGAGATTCTATGAAAATTAAAAAATGGCATCATCGTCGAAAAAATAACTGAATGAACTTAATTTGATATTTTGAGGGGGGAAATTGTTCGAGAATATCCGTTCCACATTGATTGTGTAATGATTTCCAAACAGATTTTATGAGGCCCTAAGGTACTCCCCACCTATAGCCTTAAGGTTTTAGATTTAATGTGTTGATTCTTTTTCACGTGGTATTAAAGCCTCCACAATCTTGGTAAAGAGTAAGTAACTTCCACCTACTTGGGGCAGCCTTACACTGCCTATCTGGATAAAGTTTAGCTTACTTATCAAAAGAAAAAAAAGCTCTGCTACTCTTATCTCTTTTTGGGTTGAATGCGCAAATTCTGTCCAAAATAGTAGTGCTTCAAGTTACAAGCAGGTATTTACGTCCAATATTAATTTCTTATCATATTCTTAAAAGAACAAGAATTTGCATAGTACCCCATCATTTGGAAGTCTCAACTTCTGTAGCAAGAAGTACACACTGACACTACATGAATTATGTGGAGCTAACTTGGAGAAAGGGGGTTCAATTGAATCCCCTTGGCCAAAAACTTGGAGAAAGGGGGTTCAATTGAATCCCCTTGGCCAAAAAATTAAATTCTGCAAATAGGGCAAAAATTAGTTTTTGGGTTATAAATAAGTTGTTGAATCTCCTTGAACTTAAGAAAAATTCTAGTAAAATGGAAAAGGGATTCAAAAATTGATTAAGATCACAGGTTCAAATCTCAGCTGTGACATTCTTGAATCCCCTTGTATAAAATCATGGTTCTGCCACTGTAACCAAATATGAGTGTTTGACTAGTTCAAGAAACTAATCATCACTATGCCATTTTAGATTCACATATGAAACTACTGAAGCACAGATTACAAGAAGGCATTTAAAGTGCAAACCTTAGAAAGAGCAAGGCGATACTCATCACTATCAGGATTGAAGCCGTACAAAGAGTACTTGTAGTCAACCACACTAGAAGTAATCTTCACGAATAGAAAAAAAAAATACAAATATAAATCAGTGGCACAGAAAAACTAAGTTCACTGACTGCGAATTTCAACAACAACAAAAAAACCACCGTGAGGAGAGCTCGGGAGGAGCGAATGATGCCGTTGATGAAAGGTGAATTGGTGGAAGAGGGGGGAGAGTTAGGGTTTAGGGTTTGAAAGGTAACTGCGGCGCCAGATAAGCCGGCCATGGCGATCAGGTACTTCTTGAATATCCGCCGCCGAGTCGCCATGGTTGGGGACCCAAAGATTCTTTGCACTCCGAAATGCGAATATTGGCGGGTGATTTCTCTCTGTTCTTTTTATACTTGCATATACATTTTTACATATCTAATACATACATTATTCGGAAATTTTTCAAAAAATTGCACGGGCACCGTTTAACCCGTACCCATTTTTATTTTTTATTTTTAACTTCTACAACTTACAGACATTTTCTCTTTTTCTTCCTCTTCTTATTCTTCTTCCTCGGCTGATAATAATTTTATATGGTGTTTGTGAACATATTTTAAAATAGTTTATGATATTTTATCGCGGTGAGCTATTGTGGCACTTTATTTTTTTACTATTACTTAGGGTTTCTTCTTCTTTTTCTTAATTGCAATATGGAATCGTTAGATTTATTGTTGTTTTTGACAAATTGATGATTGGGGTTTGTTCTTAATGATATTTGGAGGTTATGTTTCAAATTTGAGCTCATTTGGAGTAGAGTCAGGTATTAAATCGTATATTGGATTGTTAAAATTCGAAGAAAATTTTCTGTTACTGGGCAATTTGCACTTCGGGCCTATTTCGCCTTAAGTGTATGAAAACGTTGGTTGCACTTCAGACCTTTTGGCCTTAAGTGCATCTGAAGTACAATTTCAGTTCAGACTTATTAGCCTTAAGTGTAGGAAAGCGTTTGTTGCACTTCAGACCTTTTGGCCTTAAGTACATATAAAATGCAATTTTTCACTTCAGACTTATTGGCCTTAACTGCATGAAACCGTTGGTTGCACTTCAGACCTATTTGGCCTTAAGTGCATCTAAAGTGTAATTTTTTCACTTCAAACTAATTTTTTTTAAACTTCAGACCCGATAAGTCTAAAGTTGATCGTAAAGTGGGTAGACTTGCGAATTTTTTTGCAGAGTGGGTATAGGTTCAATTGTGACCCCAAATCAAGTATAGATGCAAAAGTCCCGGGAAATTTACACAAATATATAGCCCAACACAAATATATTGCACTAACATCCCCATAATTGATGGAGTATTTCTTTTGCAGCAATGCATATACTTTTATACCTTATTATACAATATTATATATTTATTTATATATCTATATTTATATTTATATATATATTTATCTATCTATATTATTTTTACTATTATAAAAGCTAAATGTTGATTGACAAAAAAATTTTAAAAATTCTATACCCCTAAAAATTAAGTTATTTCTTAAAGATAGATTATTCCATATTGTATAAAATCGTAGTATTTAGGATTTACCGTTGACATCCACAAGATTCATACACTTTTGTCAAAGTTAACCTCAATTAGGATTCATATTATTCATCTATATTCTCTATGTTATGAGTTCTCTTTCACAGGTTCGAATAAATTTGAGTTGGAAATTTCGGCTGCATTGTACCGCCAAACTGTATATTTAATATGGATGGAATTAACTCTATTTTTCTTATTTTGTTCTTTCTTTGCCGTGACTTTATTGTTTTACCTTCGACTCATGTTGTCTATATTGTGGTTTATTGAATTGTTGGATTATTTTGGAGGGGGTACAAACCCTTTTTTTTTTTTTTTGCATGTCAGTAACTTCTTATTGTTTATAATTATTTACTACTTTTCTTGTGTGATAAAGGAAAACTACTTTTTTTTTTTGATAACTAGGGATGATATATATATTAAAAACTTACGGAATATTGTCGTTTACATCATTCAAAATAGAAACAGCCTTAAGGACATTGATATTGCCCAGATCAGCTAGCATAAAGCATACATCAAAACTAATGTTCTTAACAAGATAAACATGGGCCACCCTATCTGTTTCCAGATTATTTATAACAAAAGGGGGTGGTGAATCTAGTAGTTGATAAGCAGCTGCTTGATTGAGTGCATGTCATGCCAGATTGTGTGCCACTTTGTTCCCTTCTCTGAAATTATGGATGATCGATGGCTCCTTCAGCTGGTGCATTAACCACCTGCATGATTGTAAGATAGAATTGTGAGGGACAGCGTTTGACAGGAGCTGTTTTATTACCTCGGATGCGTCAGTTTCTAAGACCAGAGGAGTTAGACCATGGGTTAGAGCTAAATTGAGGCCTTCTTTGAGAGCCTCCAGTTCCACTTGTAATGGTGAGGTAGCTGGGACAGTGCTTTGGTAACCCAAAATCCAATCCCCTGCTTGGTTCCTAAAAACTCCTCCTACTCCCCCTAGCTTGAAGTTGTCCTTGTAAGCACCATCAATGTTTAGTTTAAAGAAAGATGGAAGGGGTTTATGCCATGCAACACTAATTGCATGGGAATGAACAATAGCTTTTTCCTTATGAGTGAGAAGCATGTATTCTGATGCTATGTTTAGGGCCTGATTTGGGTTATAAGTATAGGAAAGGTTTTCATGGTTGTTTTTGTTCCTGTTTTGCCAAATCCCCCATACAATAAAAGGGAAGAGTTCCTCCCATTTAAGGTGCGTATAGAGATTGGGATTGCCCAGATCCTTTATCTTGTCTAGCCAGTGGGGGGGAATTAATAAGAGAGGACCTATTTAAACTAAATAAATTCCAGAAATTCAGGACAACCTTGCAATTTAAGAATATGTGCTCAATGGATTCATTTTCTTTTTTAAAAACAGGACATAAAGGATCAATGTTGAGACCAATATGGTGAAGGTAGGATCGCGTTGGTAGCCTATTGTGGTAGCATTTCCAAAGAAGGAATTTAATTTTGTTAGGGAATTTCAAGGACCATATCCAACTGAAATCAGTTAAGCTATTTGAGTTGGTCTTGATGAGGTTGTAACAGCTTTTTGAGGAGAATTTTCCGTCCCCCGTTAGGTCCCAGAACAATAGATCATAGGAGTAGTTGGTAGGGTGAATAGATAGGATACTATTTTTGATATCTAACGGGAGGTCAAAGGAAATTTTGCTAAGATTCCAGTTATTATTATGCCAAATGTCACTGATGGTGAGATTGCCAATGGATGAGGGTAGAGGACCTTCAACTAGTTGTCTAAGGTTTTTTGATTTTGGGATCTAGTTTGAATCCCATATGTTCATGGAGTATCGGGTATGGGGGATCCATTTAATGCCCTTAGAACAAACTTCCCATCCTTTAATAATACTTTTCCATATGAAAGAAGTGTGTTTAAGATTTAAGGAGGAATTGTAAATGGAGGAGAGGTTTTTGACCAGGGTTTATTAGGATTTTGAACTAGTCTCCAAGCAAGGTTAGCTAAGCTAACTAGATTTTTATCCTTAGCGGAGAAGATGCCAAGACCTCCATTGTGCTTGTTCTTGGTTAGGGTATCCCAAGAGATTAGATGCATTTTTTGGGATGTGTTAGTAGTACCCCAAATGAAATTTCTTTGAATTTTATCAATGTGTTTGGTAATTTTAATTAGGAGGAGATTATATTGCATGGCATGATTTGGAATATTGTTTAGGGCTGATTGTGCTAGGGTGGTTCTGCCTGCAATATTTAGGAAATTTGATTTCCAAGATGCTAGTTTCAAAGTCATATTGTCTATGATAAATTGGTAATCGGAGGACATAGGCTTGATGTTAGTAATGGGGAATCCTAGATATTTTCCAAAAATTTTGCTAATATTAATGTTAAAGAGCCTGGATAAGGCCTTTGAAGTGACTTTAGGACAGTTTTTGGAAACAATAATTTTCGATTTGGAAAAATTTATTTTTTGTCCGGATAAAGTGCACAAGGAATATAGACACTCAAGAATAGTGTTAGGAGAATTTTTGTCAAGTTTACACATTAGGGTAAGATCGTCAGCATAGAAGAGATGAGAGAGATTGCATTGATTGTTACCCATTCTAATGGGAGACCAAGCTCCAATATCCACTTTGTGGTTTATTTGAGTTGATAGCATTTTCATACAGAGGATAAAAATGTGTGGGGATAGAGGGTCACCTTGTCTGATTCCCCTGCTAGGGGTGAAAAAAGAACTTTTACTACCATTCACTAGGATAGATATTCTGCTTGTGGTTACACAATTCATAATGATAGAAGTGATTCTTGGAGGGAATTTGAAATGACGGAGGGTTCTGTAGATGAAGGACCATTCTAGACGGTCAAAAGCTTTTTCAAGATCTATTTTTAGGACCATATTAGCATTTGAACCAATTTTTTTGTGCATTCTGAGCATTAATTCCTGGATAATGATAGCATTATCACTCGAACGTCTGCCTTTTAAAAAACTAGCTTGATAGGGACTAATGATATTATTCGAGAAAGGTTTTAGTCTGTTGGCAATTGTTTTTGTAATTATTTTATAAATAGTGTTACATAAGTCAATTGGCCTAAAACTTCTTAGATTGGTGGCATTATGGATTTTAGGAATTAGACAGAGGTAGGTATCATTAATGCCAAGTGGGAGGTTACCAGTTTCAAAAGTTATCTGACATAAGAAAGTTACTGAGGTTCTTAGGGAATTCCAGTACTTTTGAAAGAAAAAAGGATGAACACCATCTGGTCCCGGAGATTTAAAAGGTTTGAAGGACAAAACTACATTTTTAATTTCGGAGTAAGAAAAAGGTTTATCTAAGCACTCTAAGTTATAGTCTTTGAATGAAGGGGTATCTAACTTAATGCTAGTCCAGTCTGAAGTGTTATGACTAGTAGTAAAGAATTTCTCAAAATAGGAGAGGGTATGTTCCATGATTTTAGGAGGGTCATCTATCCAATTCCCGTCTAAGTCCTTAAAATAAAAAATCTTGTTTTTCCTTCTATTATTAGTGGCACAAGTGTGAAAAAATTTTCTGTTAGTATCACCATCATTTAACCAATTAATTCTAGATCGAAGCTTCCAATAGTCCTCCTCTAATCTAAGAAGATTGTTATAATCTTTTTTCAGGGAAATTTCCAAACCATTGAGATAGGAATTAAAACCATAAGAGGGAGATTTTTGGATGCCATTGAGTCTAGCATGGATGTGATTCTTTTTTTTTAAATAGGTCTCCAAACGTTTTGTGCTTCCAGTCAATTATACGACTTTGAAAACACCTTGAAGCTGCCACAAAAGACCTATTGTGCCAACATTCCTTAACAATATTACCAAACTCCGAATAGCCACACCAAAAGG